ATAACCCGTGGAAACCAGGGTCGGTATATTTAAAATTTTATATAGATAATAAAATAATAAATGTCAAAAAAAAACCAAGATATTGTCGATTGTAAGTAATTATGAAATAATTTGTTAAACAAAATAAAAATAATAATATTATTGAGATATGATTTTGTATTTTCAAATTTTGAATTGAATTTGATTTGTTACAAAAAAAAAATGAAATAATAAAATCATAGAAAAATGTCACGTGTGAAGGAGACATTCTAAAAAACTGACACGTGTCATACCTGATATATAGGTGGATTGTTTTTATGTCAAAAGAAGTATGCTATGAAAGTACTGAAACGAGATGTAATGTCATCTTGCAAACATATTCTCACTTTCATCGATACAAAGGAAAATTTAGTACCAATGATGGACAACATTACTCCAACCCCACTTTATATCGTAACCTTGCTGGAGTGCTTCAATATATTATATATAGTTCAACAAATATGTTTCCACATGTATGTAACTCATGAACCCCAAATGGTAGCTTTAAAGTATGTACTACACTATGTGCAAGCCTTCAAGGTCCTCTTGATTATGGTCATACACTTTATAATACTCTTCCAGCACTTTTATCGCATACATTGACATGACTGACTGGATGTCCCGGCACACATCGAGGCCGTATAGCGGGATGTTAGAGATATGCCCACCGACATGGAGGTGTTGCTAATGTGGTTTTAGAAACATGTTGGATTCAGAATCTTCTTCTTAAGCTTTCATTGTCTATTACTAATGTTAACCTTGCTTATTATGACAATGTAAGTGACGTTTATCCATAGTATTTTAGAATCAATTCTTCCTTTAGATGATCAATGCTTAGGACACAAGTGCTTAGGGGATATAAGGTTGTATGTGGTGGCGGACCTAGTTTCAGGGTAGCACACGTAAATATTATAGGTAGCTCACAAAGAAAATTGCACTACATCGAAAAAAAATTCAAAAAAATTTCATTGTGTCTTTAAAATTGAGGGGTAGCACAGACTACCTGAGGTTCTATTAAGGTCCGCCCCTTGTTACATGTTGGTAACCGACTTCAAGAATAAAATAACAATGAATTAGTAAAACGTGAGCTTATTTTGAAAAAAAAAATTTAGATCTAAAATGAAAAAATGAAAAAAACAAAATATAAAGTTTCTTATGGAATAAACCCAATAATCGCGACGTAACTGGATAATATTTAAACTTAATTGCGCATTAATTGGAGTTTTTGAATCAATTTGTGATTTTTTTTAATATTATTTTGAGATACTTCCATCACTTTAACGAACCTCCAAAAGTCTTGGAATATGTTTCTTCTTAGAACGAGCATAGTAAAAATTGACATCAATATGTTACAAGAATGGTTTTTAAATTAATATATTTGAATAGATTATGTTGAAGGGTTGCACATTAAGTATGAATTTATATATTCATTATCGCGGACCCTTTAAAGGAAAGCTACTTTCGGCGGGGAGCAGCATTTTTAAGTGGGGCCATTATTCATGTTTGATGAGCACAAAGATGTTTAATTATTGTTATTTTTATGGAATGGTTGAAATTTAATTAATTTAGAAAGACTTTTAGAAAGGAAAGGTATATTATAAAGATGAAATGCGAATAGTAAGGTTGTATAGTCACTAAAGTCCAGTTGATATTAAGTTTAATTATTTTATTAAATAAACAAAAAGAGATTAGCCAAAGAGGAGGAATTACCATTTCTTGTTTTTACACTTTTGTTGACGACTTATTTCTCATACTATATTTCTTCTTAATTAGCTAGAGTTATTAGGAGTTTTTTTTTTTTTGAACGGTAGAGTTAATAGTTAGCAGTTAGTATCACCGAATTGTTCACGTCAAGGTTAAAACTCGATACCTCCAATCTAAGAGACAAAGCTTCTACCAAGTGGGATAGTCTCACATTGACGAGTTATTAGGAGTCTTATCTTCGTTAAATAAGAAAGAACTCAGAATTATCATCTTTTATTGGTTTTTAGAAAAATTCAAGAGATGTGAGTTACCTTTGTTTGTTAACCCGATATATGCTTTTGAATTTTTGATAATGTCATGTACAAGATTATTTGAACTTCAATTAACAATATCTTTTTTTTTTTTGCAAAAAACAATAATGAAAATAAGCATGTCTGGGTGAGAGTAATTCTAAGATGGGTAACCCACTTGAAAGTTTTCGTATGATGATGGCCAAAACTAGGGGCGTAACCACTCACAACTAAGGTGGGTCCTAGGACCCACCTAATTTCTTAAATTTGTATAGTATTTGTATAGAAAAAAAATTAGGAACCACCTTTAAAAAAAATTAGGACCTGTCTAATACTATTCGACAAAACCTATCATACATCGGAGATAAAGAGAAAGTTGAAGTTGTTTGATGTTATAAAAATAAATTATGAATGGTTATTAGGAAATTTAAAAAACAATACAACTCATCTCATATTGTTGGTTATATAAAGTGGTTGTTGCAAATGAACTCTTTAAAAAGAAAAGAGACTCGGTCGTACAAAGTAGTTTTTTTTTTTTTTTTTTTTTTTTTTTTTTTTTGCAAAAATTGGGTTAAGTAGACCAATTTTACTAGTTCTTAGTTGTTCTATCGTCCGGTTGAACTCGAGTTTTTACAAATTGGTCGTTTTTTTATTGGTTCGACCCGACCCGATCTGTCACATATAGCATTGACTCTCTTTGGTTTTTCCGCCTTCATTTAATTAGGAACCACGTGTTATTCTATTCTAGATTCGCCACTGACCAAAACGGACTACATTATGGTAAGTGCCTTTGGAATGTTACACAATACATCATAAATCTTCATACACACATAATAGAAATCGGTTGATACATTTTGTATGAAAATTATCAATATCAATACCAAAATCAAACACATATCTAAGTTTTTTTTCTTCTAAAACTATCAAAATCTTAATATAAAACTATCAAACTCTTACCTCACCATTACCATTAGTGGTAAAAGAATGAGAACATACAAATTGATGGTTTTTAGAGAATGGTGTGAGGAGGGGGAATGGGTTGGTAATGGTTGAGTGGTGGTTGTCGAACCCAACAAAATAAATAACCTTAAATCTTATACACTAAAATAATGTATAGTGGTAAAGGGATCGAATCCACGGAGATTGATTTAATTTGTTACTCGATGACAATCTTGTTATACAAATACTTGTGAAATCAAAATAAAAATAAAAATGGGGGTTTTTGGTCTTTTGAACTATTTAAAATAAAACTAGGATTAAACTAAGACTTAACGACACAATTTAACAAAAGCACGAGTTTGATGTAAAATCAATGAGAGAAAGATGGTTAACTCAAGGTTTCCTCACTTGAACATTTGGTGAACATATCACTAGAACCCAAGGTGCAATTCTTGTTTTAAATCTCTAATTTGGTTATAGTAATCCAAGAAGCTTGAGATTACCTAGACTTTTCTTAGTTATTAAAATAGCTAGAGAAACTCATAACATATTTCCTTAGTTAAAGTCATAATTTTCATTAAGCATGTAATTAGTGAAATTTAACTAGCATTAAGAATAAAAAAGTCATCAAATCCAAGAGGAGTCAAATGCTTTCACTACCATGTTGGAGAAATGTTTTTGTGATTATGTGAAGTGAAAACTAACATAAGAACCACTCGTTGCTTGCTAATTTGAAGATCCATTACTTAATCAAGAAATTAGCCAACTAATCACTACAAATACATTTAAACTCATGAATAAAAACATACAAGTAGCAAGAAGATGTTAAAACATAAAACATTCTCATAAAGATTCAAGAATAAGTTCATGGAGTTCTTTAACATTCAACCAAATATTCAAATGATTTCACCAAAGTCAACCAAGATTAGTTTAGCCTAACATGGCTAAACTCAAGAAAAAAAAGTAAGAGTAGATTATACCAAACATTTAGCAAGAATCAAGAGCAAAAAAGATGATGTTTTTGATGTGTTCTTGACCTTCAAAATGCTCCTAAATCTCTATAATCCTCCCACTTTCGGATGTGTAGAATGATAGAAAAGTTAGACACCAACCTTCCCTATATAGCACAAAAGAAGGAATTCTGAAACTACCCCTGCAGCTCCGTGTGCGGGTCGCGCATGCCTGCACGGGTGGTCCCTGATGTGGGCTTCTTTGAGTTTTGGGCCTCCTCAGCTTAGCCCACTGGCCTAGTTTGAGTCTAATCAGATCCTAGCCCATTTTTCTTCAAGTTTTCTTTATTTTAAGACCAATTTGGCTTCTCCAAATCACCCATAGCTCATGAACTTGCCCGATCAATAATCTCCGCATGCACAAATATTCTTCCATTTTCTTGCAAATTCAAAGTTCATCTTCTCAAAGCCTTCAAATAATCAATGACCCTATGATTTGTATCATTTCCATTAATATTCTAACCCATTATCTTTCATTTTCCTCCAAATTCATTTGTCTCCCAAAGATCGCGCTCCGCTAGTCTCCTTAAAACCTGCAATTAAGCTCATGAAACTAGAAAGTACCCGAAATAGTCATAAAATAAAAAAAAAGGAAAATATGCATAAAGATTAGCTAAATTATGAATGAAAAATGTTAAAATAAACTATAAAAAGAAGTAAGTAAAATGAAACTATCATTGAGTAGTGGTTAGAGAAGGGAAATGAGACATAT